TTTATTATCCGCCGGGAGAAGAAACGAAAGGGGCGAGAGCTTGGGCCTTTTCAGGTCTTTTCTTTCTCTTTCCTGCTTTTGAAAAATCCAAGTTTCTCTGAGACCTTGTGGGGGGGCAAAACAGCGGGGAGCAAGTAAGCTCAAAAGAGACACTGGGCTGGAAAGCTGGCGCAGCTCTGATAAATTATAGGTAATAAATGGGCATCTAAATGAAGCTTCATCTCCTTTTAATCCAGGCACTTCATCACTGTGAATGCAATTTGACACACTGTGATAGATGTTTGCCAAGTGCAAAGCTATTATTATTATTATTATTCTTGTTCTTATTCCAGTACGAGGTAACAACATGATATCAAGAGGTAAAGTCTACCTTAGTCTGTGTCGCGGCCTCTCGCACCGGCCAATTAACAGCTTTGCCACATGCCCAGCTCTTCCAACGGCTCGCACCACACACAGTCAACGACTCAACAACCTCACCCATCCAGGTTCTTTTGATTGGAATTGATTACCTATCTCCTCTTCCCCGGCCGAGCTTGCATCATCTCGTCTCACAGATCATCCATGATTTCATGCCTTTTCCAACCCATACTGATAAGTACTGAATTGGTCTGATCAAATGCAGCTCGCCTACATATTAGGTGCGCAGATCTGTAAAGATGATGGGGGGCGGCGCATCGAGCAAGGCCTTCAAGTTTTGCCCCCTGAAAGTTGACTATTGGGTGATGGCCCCGTTTGCGCCTGAGTTGCAGTCCGTCCACAAAGGTACACCTGCATCAGTGCAGAAAGTCGGTTGGTTTCTTCGACCCAGTGGCAAACATGCAATGGATACTCCGGTGGATGAATTGATGCCTCAGGCCAAGAAATAACTTCAGCATTATTTCCGGCCCTGCTGTATCATGCACGTTTCTTCGCTGCTACACCAGGTACACCCTCATCATTGTACTACTAGAAATATCAAATATTAAGTCTGCCTGTCCCCTAGCACGCCATCTGCATGTGTTACCCACCTGGTCAAGCCCTTAACAATGGAAATGACGTCTTCAAATATGCCGCTTCAAAACCTTATGAACTTGGAGCAGCAATGGACGGGCCCCAGATGTTAACCATGGTTCAACAGGTGCCCGTATACTCGATTAATGGGGTCGGGGATATCGTTTCCATTCGCATTACTTGTGTAGGTCTGCGCAACAAACAACAACCCAGGGCATCTTCAGTTCCCCAGTAGTAAATTACCTATGATACATCTACTTATATATTTTAATCCCCAAATGTGATTATCGCTGGTCTTAAACACGGGTGATTCTTCTGTTGTTGCTTCCAGGTCTCTAACTCTGCCGGCACGTAGATACTTCTCAGATAATTCTCTGCGATCAAGAGCTTGGCATCCGGCCTGTACGTTTGTACTGAGAGTCGCATGGAGATGGATCGATCGGTTTGTTTATCCTATGGCGATCATGACATATCCGCCGACGTGGGCCGCGCGGACAAGCATTTTAAGGAGGGTATGTTTACATGATCAATTGTTGATCTCACCCTATATTACGTGCCCATTATTGTCCGGGGTAATCTACCCCGTCATGTTTATCCTCGCCTTCTCAAGTCGTTGCAATCAGGTACCTTAAGCATGGCACCTATCTCAAAGCCAGCTGGAGAATTTGCAAAGAAACCCGCTAACTTGGTTGTCAACTTATACCGACCTTGGTGGGTAAGGTATGGAAACAAGTGATGTGGGTGAGCAGCCATGATTGAGAACGAGCTTCTGTCCTGACTCCTAGTCTACTACTAGAAATAACAGACAGCTACCATTGGACTAGTTGAACCAGATGTTGTGGGTTGAACCCCGTTCTGTTCCCGAATGTCTGGTATGCGGTGGTTTATATACTTCAGTCAGTGCGGCGCCAGATCTCTCCGAAAAGGCCTGGAATATAAGGTGCTATCACTTTGTCGCATTGCCGTGGAAGAGCTTCGAGGCGGTAAAGTATTTTTCTCTCCTTAAGTTTCTACCTTGGAGGCTTGGAGCCCAGCTGAAAGCCCCACGATGGATGACTGCTAGCTATCATTACTTTTGCTGGAAGGTCCTCCGCTTGGGGCGATTATTGGCAAGCACAGCCTCACTTGGTGAGGGCAGACATGTACCAACTGTGGCACAACCCCTGTTGCCTCGTGTCCCTAGGTAGGTACCGTACCCATCTACTCCGGAGACTACTTTGTTCAGTAGTCGTCTTGGGAGAATCAGGGCCCTGAAGAAAAAGACACCATGTTTCCTGCATTTGCTGTCACGGTGACTGTGGGAGTTGAAGAAAGGTTGAAGGGAGATGGGAAGGCAATCAATCCGACAGTGACACGACTCGGCAGATTCTTGGCTGGGAGACCAGTCCAGGAATGGATAGGCACTGCTGAAGGCTGAAGCTGAATCAACGCCTCCTATCAGCAGCTCCAGTTTAAGCATGAAATCATGGTCGGTCTGGGCTCAAAAATCATCCTCTCCCTTTAGTTATCCCTCTTCATGATGATACTACCCATCTCTTATTCTTTGTATTCTCAGTCAAAGATCTTTCCATTTTTCAACAAAATTCCCAGCCATTGTCTGCTTTGATCTCAATTGCTCTCTCTGCACTTCGTGGTAGGTTCCGCTTTCCACTCCCGTTCCGAACTTTATCGATCAGCTTGCAGTGTTTTTTTTTGGTTCTCGTCTCATCCCCGCGTCATCTCCATTGCCCTCCTCTCCATTACCTATATCGTCTTGTTAATACTTAGTACGACTCCTAGGGACCGATTGCGAACTTTCAGCCGTCTATGGCCTTTTTTACCTCGCCCCGATCTTTTCAAAATGCGCAGTCGCTGGCATCTCGCCAAGTCGTGACCCAAAATCAGATGGGCGCCAACTCTGGCCTCCTGCAGCATGTCGCCGGTCATAACAGCCATCCTCCCTTTATGCATCTGGTGCTTCTTGTGTTTGAAGCTGTTCTCGAGGTCGTTTGCGTCAGTCTTCCCGGCTACATTGCTGCTTGGGTGGGCATGTTTGATGCCGACGCTCAGAAATTCGTCGCCAATCTCAATGTCATGCTATTTACTCCATGCCTGAGTAAGTAGGACATCCGCTATCTATGATTATCCACAGCTGCTTATTGCTTAAACAGTCTTCACCAAGCTCGGTTCCCAGCTGACGGCGGAGAAACTCACTGATCTTGCCATCATCCCTGTTATTTTCATCATCCAGACCGCCGTTTCTTATCTCTGCGCTTTCGTGGTATCGCGATGTTTCCGCTTCTCAAAACGACCAGCCAATTTCGTGGCGGCTATGGCGGTAAGTGGTGCGACGGAATATGCGTCGACAGACGTCTAATTTGCACACTTAGGTATTCGGAAATTCGAACTCGCTTCCCATTTCACTAGTCATATCTCTATCGCAAACGTTGCGTGGCCTCCACTGGGACAGAATTCCGAACGACAATGATGACGAAGTCGCTGCACGCGGTATCTTGTACCTGCTTATTTTCCAGCAGCTGGGCCAACTAGTGCGGTGGAGCTGGGGCTACCGAGTTCTCCTTGCGCCTCGAGAGCGCTACCTGGAAGAAGCCCGAACGGAAGACGGAGAACCTCGTGTCGCAGAAGGACAGGAACGATATACCGATAACCCGGAGCAAGTAGACCCGGACGAGCCCTTGATAAGGACAAGAAGCTCATCCGATCCGTCTACCGTGCTCCCGTCTGGATCAAATGGTGACCCTGACGAGTTCCAATCTGGAGAGGCGACGCCTGTGAATGGGCGTAGTTACTCGTACACCAAATTGTCTCATCCCGAGCATGACCAAGACCAAACTCCGCTACTTGGACCGCCGCCTAGTGGCCCTTTCCTCCCTCGTCGAGACTCTCGGGGCGATATCTTGCGTTTCCCGAACGTCGAAGTGAACCCGGAGGAAGAATCTTCAAAGAAAGGGCCTATCTCACGCCTCAAAGCTTCTGCAGGTCGCCTTCAAACTCGCACTGTCGATGGCTGGACGAAAGCCACGGGTGCTCTGTACAATCGACTACCACCTGGTGTGCAAAAGTTTCTGTCGGCATGCTCGAATGGAGTCTGGAAATTCCTTCGTGGCCTTTGGGATTTCATGAATCCCCCTCTTTGGGCGATGTTGGTGGCGATCATAGTGGCATCTGTGCCATCGCTCCAGCATTTGTTCTTCGACGATGGCACGTTTGTTAGTAACTCCGTGACCCGTGCAATTGGCCAAAATGGTCAAGTTGCCGTTCCCCTGATTCTCGTCGTTCTTGGGGCGAATCTGGAACGCAACACAATTCCTTTGGAGGCGCGTGAAGACATGGAGGACGCCGGGGAAGAGAAGAAGCTCATTATCGCCTCCTTGTTGTCACGCATGCTTCTGCCCACCGTCATCATGGCGCCCGTCCTGGCCTTGCTGGCCAAATATGTACCCGTTAGCATTGTGGACGACCCGATCTTCATCATTGTCTGCTTCCTGCTTACTGGCGCTCCGTCAGCTCTGCAGCTGGCACAGATTTGCCAGATCAATAACGTCTACGTCGGTGCGATGTCGAAGTTGTTGTTCCAGAGCTATGTCGTCTGGTAAGTTTTGTCTTCTATCCTAAGCTGACATATCCGCCGCTGACGAGAATCAGGATCCTGCCATCGACGCTGCTTCTTGTGATGTGTGCTCTAGAGGTGGTCGAATGGGCCGCCGCGTAAGCGTTCTTATTCCCTTTCTGCCGTGTATTCTTATTTTGTACATCATTATGCCAAGGCGTTATTATGCAAAGGTTGTCGGCTCTCTGGCGTTACAGGAAATGATGCAAGTTTGGGTTAAGGGTCGATAGGGCGGGCTTATAAATTGTGTTTGGGTATGGAGATGTCTTTGTATTCACGGACCCGAAAATGATACGTACCTACCAGCTTGCTTGACCTACAAATAATACAAAGTTCCGGTGTCAGGGTGTTTCCGCCCAAGGACGATTGATTGATGCCATCACCGAAAACAAAAAGAGAACGACCAAGACGCGACTCGAACGCGCAATCTTTGCTGCATCCCAATCTTACCGGAGATACCGGAGATTACCGGAAAGCAACGCCTTACCATTAGGCCACTCGGCCGATTTCTGATGTTTGTTTTAGGATCTTTACCCTATATTCATTGAGGAAGATATTAATCAGGGAAAATCACCTGTCGACTCCGAGTTCCCTTCCTTGTCATCATCATATTCAAGCTCCATTACTCCGTAATCCCATCAAACCCTGGAAACACCAGTGACTTCACGAAGACACCGCCAACCCGTAACTATCGATCCCATTGCAGCACCCGTGATGAAACATACAATGCTTCCCATGCGACCATCTGAATCTCCCGCGTTTTAACGGCCCCCGGTTGTGCGAAGGGGTGACACCATGGAGTGGATATCGCGTACTCCCAAGTTCTCGCCTGGATGCTGTTTAGACCTTCAGGCCTCAGGGGTAGACAGACGGTCTTGCTCGGACCTCCATTCTTACGCCCCATGCGCCCATCCAGTGACCGTATGAGAATGGTACCTGCTTCTACTACTGCACTAGCCTTCAACCCTGGCCAGCGGGGCGACGCCAACAGCCTTTTAGCCCTGTCTTACTAGGTACGATAAGGCTTATGCCGAGCGGAGTATTCGACGATCCGAGGCTGTTGACGACCTAGAAGCCTAGAACATGAGGCAGGTGTTGCGTGAGATGGACCCTTACAGGGCAGCTTAGATCGCTTGTCTCTTTATCCCAACGCGACACCGAGACAATCAACCAACAACAGAACAGATACCTTATCAATTCGTGGCGGTATCTGGTCCACTCAAGCTGGTTAGGTAGTCAATGGTCAGAGACGTCACGGGTCATATCTTGGCCTTGAGAAACTCTTTTCCATGGCGTACGCATGCTAGTTTGGGAATTAAAAATCTCTTTGTCTTCTCCTCCACGCTCTGGATGTTACGAGATCTCAAGTCATCTGAGGGCTGAAGCTCCGTTCCATCTTCAACTACTTAGGTACCTCCTAGTAGGTACCAGGTATCAGGTATCCTGGGTTGCTCAGTCCTGTCTGTTCTGTCCCAGTGGAACGGACACCTCTCAGGTCTACATACGCACTTGCGACTATATAGGATTGTGCTGGTCTTATCAAAAACCTTTCATCCGTTTATCATCAGAATCCGGTTCCTTTGAGCTCCACCTCCAGCCGCGGCCTCCGCCCGCTTTTTGCTCCCACTCTATTATTCTCAGTGACCCCCACCTACACACCCCAGTCTTTTTCTGGTTCCTTCTCTGCTCGATCTCGACACTACTTAACCGCCGTTCCTTTCGCTCCTTTCAGCTATTCTCTTCTGGATTTCATACTGTTCTTGTCGAGGCATATTTCTCACTGGGGCCCGGGGTCGAGATCCTCCTGATACCTTGACCACTGCAACGTGACCGATTTCCCTGTCCGGCGGAATCCGGATACACCTCACCTCGACCGCGATTACCCAGCCTGTTGGTCCTAAAGTGTCTCAGGAGATGCCTTCTTTCACTGACCACATCATAGGCGCTGACACTGACCAGGAAGGTAGGTGTCCCCGTCCAGTTGTGCTTCTGCCCCTGAAATTTTTTTTTTTTTTTTTATTTTTCATTTTTAATTTTCCCCTTGCGTCTTGGCTCTGGTGGTCCAATAGTAGTCGTAGTAGCGCTGGAGGCTCTTGCACATGGAAATTTAATCTTATGATCTCATCACCCACACTCGCTCTACCCTTTTTTTTCTTTTTTTTGTTTTTGTTGAATTTTCCCAGCACAACACTCTATCTTCAACGCTTCATCACCACCAATGGCATACCCTTGAGTGTATCTATGGCTTCTGACCAGTCTGTCAAAGGCCCTCATTCAGGTCCCGAGACTAGTTTGACGATTTCCCCAAGCCTGAAACCCCGTCCAGACCCGGCAACTTCCTCCGATGGACATGCCACCAGGCAACGTCGCGTGTCTATCGGCAAGCCGACCGTACGCCAGCCATTGTATCATTCGCCTTCCTTGGGCTCCGTAAACAGTCAGGCATCCAACGGAGCCGAAACGGTGACGAGAGAGGACATCGACCGGTGGCTGAAGCAGGGTGAGGAGGACTCCCGGCACAACCTCTTCAGTCAGGTGTATGAGTGGCTATTGCGCGAAAAGTCCAAGCGCAAGTCGAAAAAATATCGTGGATCCCTAAATAGAACTGGGAATGAGGGTGAAAACGAAGGGGACGAAAGCGAACCCGGTGATGGTGCTCCGTTGACAAAGACCGCATCGCAGCAATCTGACACGGCAGCCGCCCTGGACGGATTGGAAAAGATTCTTCTACAATATGCTTCTCGATACGATAATCGCCCCGGATCTACCTGCTCCTCCCGTCGCTCTACCCGTCGACGTCATCATGTGAAAGGTTTGCGAAGAGGATCTGCTTCGGAGTCGGACTATGATCTCGAACCAGTCACCGCCAGCGTGGACGCGGTTTTGGACAATTCGAAGACGCTGGCTTACAGAGGTGGCGGCGCAGACATTGAAGATGGTGACAGCGCGGGCACACGGCGAGCCAAGGATAGAGAAGCCTGGGTGGTGTTCAAGAGCGAAATCCTCCGCTTGACACACACGCTGCAGCTGAAGGGTTGGAGGAAAATTCCAATGGACCTGGCGGCCGAGATTGATATCGTTCGGCTTAGCGGTGCCTTGACAAACGCTGTCTACAAGGTCACTCCTCCTCAGAACCTCCCTCCCCCTAGAGCTGAGGACGGCTCTTACACGTTGGTACCTAGAAAACCACCGCCGTAAGTTCCGCCCCGCTGTCGAAAGGGAAATCCTTTTGCGTATTCTAAACTATTTACAGAAAACTCCTGTTGCGTATCTACGGTCCTCAGGTTGATCATCTCATTGACCGGGAGAAAGAACTCCAGATCCTTCGTCGCCTGGGGCGGAAGAATATCGGGCCAAAAGTGCTCGGAACCTTCAACAATGGCCGATTCGAGGAATATCTCGACGCCCGCCCACTCACCGCGAGAGAGCTTCGGGACCCGTCGACAATGAGGCAGATCGCGAAGCGCATGCGCGAGCTACATGATGGCATTGAGCTGCTGGAAGAGGAGAGGGAAGGCGGTCCAATGGTCTTTCACAACTGGGACAAGTGGGTGGATCGCTGCGAGCAGGTAATCAGCTGGGTGGACAAGGAGATCAAATCCGCGAACAATGAAAGCAAAGCGGCGTCCGAGCCCTGGCGCCGGCGCGGATATGTCTGCGGAGTTCCGTGGCCTACTTTCCGGAAGGCCGTGGAGGACTATCGCAAGTGGCTGGTTGTGAACAGCGGTGGCGTACATGAGATTAAGCGACAGCTTGTGTTTGGCCATAACGACGTAGGTTCTGAAGCTCAGACTAGAGCTGTAGCTCAAGGATTGCTAACCCGCCCCTGTAGACACAATACGGTAATCTGCTGCGCATGGAGCCCAGCCAACAGTCTCCTCTTCTCCTACCGCAAAACGAGCATAAGCAACTGGTAGTGATTGATTTCGAATATGCCTCGGCGAACACACCGGGCTTGGAGTTTGCCAACCATTTCGTGAGTACCTGGTTTCGGGCGAAAAGAAAAAAAAAGATCTGGCTTCCCTTCAAATTACTGACCCTTTTCCCATTTCGTTTCCAGACCGAATGGTGTTACAACTATCATGACGAAAAGAGACCCTGGGCCTGCAACAACCTCCTCTACCCGACGCCTGAGCAACAGCGCCAGTTCGTCACCGCATATCTAACCCACCGACCAGGCTTGGGCGGCCGAGCCTCCCCTTCCATCACCCCGCTCATCCATCCGCTCTCGTCGAGCACCTCGACCATGGCACCACTAGACCTCGACGCAGACACCGAATTAGGGCCCCCGCGCTTCCCAGATATTGAGCGAACATACCAGGATTCACTCGAGGCCGAGACGGAGTTCCTCGTCCAGCAAACAAGGCTCTGGCGCGTGCTCAACTCCGCGCAGTGGGTGGCATGGGGAATCGTCCAGGCCAAGGTCCCAGGGATGGACGGCAACGAGGACGAGGAGCCACCGTCTACGCCCCCGATAGACAGCGACGTCGATGAGTCGGACGAGTTCGACTACCTCGCCTACGCGCAGGACCGGGCTGTATTCTTCTGGGCAGACCTGGTCTCTCTGGGATTTATCCAGCTGGAGCAGCTTCCTCGGCCGCTGGCCGAGAAGGTCGAGTCGAGGATTATTGACTATTAATTAAGGTTTAACATTCTTCTTTCCGCTGGGCCTCCCTGTTGTTGTATCTGTTTTCTTTTCCCTTTTCTTTCGTTTATTATTCTTATGCTGCGGATACCAGACATGCTATGCCATGATTAATGAGCCATGATGTACATATGTGCCCGTAAGAATGGAAGTACTCACTGAGTTCAGTTGGTTTGATCAGTTCCATACCTATGGCAATATGGATGCCACGCTTTCCACTGACTGGCGTAGCCTGTACGGTTCCATGTCGAGCTCTACTGCTACCACTAGATGGGAATGAGTATCCCCTAGGCAGACTTGCTATGTGGGTTACATATATATATATATATCTCTCTCTCTCTACAGTGGATTCCGAAATCCCAAATATTTCCCACCTGAATACCCAGGGCAAATATATATATATATACTTAGTAAGTATTCTCTCCTTGGCTGCAAACACTGAGACACACCGTGAGACAGTGAGAAAGTTGTATCAGGAAGGAAACAAAAAGGGAAATGACGCTTACTCTAGTAGATAGCGTTTCAACCTCCATGGGTCTCCGCCTCCCCCGTGAGGCCGTCTATCAAAGTTTGGAGTCATCTGAGTAGGTAAAGTAAGGTAGGTAGGTAGGTAAGTTGGAATATTCACGGTGTCTTACCAGATTGCACTTTTCGTAGGTGGATGGGCATACACAACCTGAGGTGTTGCTATTCTGGCTATATCTACTACTTAGCTAGGTACCTTACTATGATAGATAGTATAGTACCTTAGTGTTACCTATTTGCTCCTGGGTGGTTGGGAGTGCATCTATTTGCCTACCTACATACCTAGGTACCTACCTAGTCATCCTCCTGTCCGGAATCAGCTGGGATGTACTAC